GGCCAGGCTGGTCTTGAACTCCTGAGCTCAGGTGATCACCCAGCTTGGCCTCCCAAAGTGCTGGGATTACAGGCGTGAGCCACCATACCCGGCTAAAATATCCATAGTTCTGTTCCTCCTCTTTCCTGAAACCTGTTAGCACTGGTGTAGCCTCGGTGCTCAAGGCTTAAACTTTGCTTTTCCATCTTCCCTTACTCCCTTGGTTATCTTATCCAGGCCTACGGCTTTAGATATTAGCAACATGCTGATACCTCCCAGATTTGTATCTCTAGTCCTGATCTTTATTCTGAACTCCAGACTGATGTAATCAACTTCCAGCTCCACATCTCACCTGTCTACTAGTTATCAGAAAACTTAACCTACCCAAAACTGAGTTCCTGCTCTTCCTACCAAAACTGTTCCTCTCATATTCTTCCCTTTCTTCCTTTATTCCAGTCCAAAATGTCTGTCTCCTGTTTCTACTGTGGTCACACTGCTGCAAGCACCATCCTGCGGTTGGATTTCTTTTTTTTTCTTCAGATGGGGGTCTTGCTCTGTTGCTTAGGCCGGAGTACAGTGACATGACTGTGGCTCCTCCTGCACCGTGTAGGCTGCTGAAATGAATTTGGTTTCTCTAAGGAGGGAGACAGAAAGTTGTTGGTGGGCTCTGAACAGCGACATCATAACCTGACTTCCATGTTAACAGGATTCCTCTGGTTACTGTGTGGAAAACAGACTGAAAGTGGGAAAGGGGAGAAGCAGGACAGCTGGTTGGGAGGTTGCTGCAATAATCCAGCCACATTGTTTGAATCCAGGAGTTTGAGGCTATAGTGAGCTATGATTGTGCCACTGCACTGCAACCTTCATACCTTTCTGACCTAATCCTACTTCTCCCAAAACAATTCCGTTCCAGACTCCTTACTGATCTTTAAAAATTCTGGTCAGGCCCACACCTCAGGGCCTTTGCCCTTGCTGTTATTTTATCATTATTATTATTATTTTGAGACGTAGTCTTGCTGTGTCACCCAGGCTGGAGTGTAGTGGTGCGATCTTGGCTCACTGCAACCTCTGCCTCCTGGGTTCAAGCAATTCTCTGCCTCAGCATCCGGAGTAGCTGGGATTACATGGGTGGCACCCGCCACCATGCCCTGTTAATTTTTTCTGTATTTTTAGTAGAGACAGGGTTTCACTATCTTGGCCAGGCTGGTCTTCAACTCCTGACCTTGTGATCTACCCATCTCAGCCTCCTAAAGTGCTAGGATTACAGGTATACAGGTGTAAGCCACCGCACCCGGCTATCCTTGTTGTTCTTTCTGTCCAGAACATTCTTTCACCATGTATCCTAATAGCTTGGGGTCTTTTTTCCAAGATCTCAATGAAGCCTTCCTCACTGCTCGAAAGTTACAACTTCCCCCCAGAACTCCCCACTCTCCTTCCCTCCCTTATTTTTCTCCATAGCATTACCACCACCAGAGAGATTGTATTTATTTATTTTGAGACAGCGTCTCACTCTGTTGCCAGGCTGGAGTGCAGTGGCGTCATCTCAGCTCACTGCAACTTCCTTCCGGGTTCAAGCAATTTCTCCTGCTTCAGCCTCTGGAATAGCCGAGATCACAGGTGTGTGCTACTACGCCCAACTAATTTTTGTATTTTTAGTAGAGGCGGGGTTTCACCATGTTGGCCAGGATGGTCTCAATCTCTTGATCTTGTGATCCGCCCAGTTCAGCCTCCTGAAGTGCTGGGATTACAGGTGTGAGGCCACCGTGCCCGGCCTTTTTTTTTTTTTCTAGATGGAATCTTGCTCTGTTACCCATAGCTGGAGTGCAGTGGGGCGATCTTGGCTCACTGCAACCTCTGCTTCCTGGGTTCCAGCAATTCTGCCTCAGCCTCCTAAATAACTGGGATTAGAGGTGCATGCTACCACGTCTGGCTAATTTTTGTATATTTAGTAGAGATGGGGTTTCACCATGTTGGCCAGTCTGATCTCAAATTCCTGACCTTGTGATCTGCCTGCCTTGGCCTCCAAAGTGCTGGGATTACAGGCATAAGCCACCATGCCCAGCCAAGAGATTGTATATCTTGTTTATTGTCTGTCTTCAAAAACAGCCCTCACCTCCATCTCCAGTAGGGCAGCAGCTTATCAACTTTGTTAATTCTTTGTATCTCCTGCATCTGATACAGCATATGTCATACAGCAGACCTTCACATAGTTCTTTTTTGTTGTTAGTGGTGACAGCGTCTTGTTCTGTCACCCAGGCTGGAGTGCAGTGGTGCAATCATGGCTCACTGCAGCCTCAACATTCTGAGCTCAAGCAATCTTCTCACTTCAGTCTCCCAAGTAGCTGAGACTACCACCACACCCAGCTAATTTTTGTATTTTTTTTGTAGAGATGAGGTTTTGCTATATTGCCTAGGCTGGTCTTAAACTCCTGGGCTCAAGCAATCCTTGGGCCTCAGCCTCCCAAAGTGCTGGGCTTACAGTTGTGAGCCACTGCACCTGGCCCTTCATATAGCTCTTGAATGAAGGAATAACTTCCCAAGAAAATGCCTAAAAAGTGGGAAGGTAACTTTAAAAACTATGTAACTCAACAACTTCCTTTCTCTACAGATAAAGCCTGCTTTATTATTTATTTATTTATTTATTTATTTATTTCGAGACAGAGTCTCGCTCAGTTGCCCAGGCCGGAGTGCAGTGGCACGATCTTGGCTCACTGCAACCTTTGCTTCCTGGGTTCAAGCAATTCTCCTGACTCAGCCTCCTGAGTAGCTGGGATTATAGGCATGTGCCACCACATTTTACTAATTTTTGTATTTTTACTAGAGACGGGGTTTCACCACATTGGCCAGGCCAGTCTTGAACTCCTGACTTCATGATCTGCCTGCCTCGGCCTCCCGAAGTGCTGGAATTACAGGAGTGGGCCACTGCGCTCAGCCTAAGCCTGCTTTATTTATTTTTTTTTTTTTGAGACGGAGTTTCACTCATGCTACCCAGGCTGGAGTTCAATGGCACGATCTCGGCTCACCGCAACCCCCGCCTCCTGGGTTCAGGCAATTCTCCTGCCTCAGCCTCCTGAGTAGCTGGGATTACAGGCA